CTGATTATCATTACACAGTGTAGAGTACAAAGAGTAGTGCACAAATGAAAAGTTAAAGTGTTACTAAATCCAGGACCCTGCATTCACTATATCTGGTCTCCCACAGTACACAGAACATGGAAATACAGTTATTTTAGTAAATATAAACTGCTAAATACCTTTTCTTATTAGCAGTATAACACAATCTTGTGACTCCTATCAGTGTCCAGCAGAGCACTGGTTAAAGCTTGTAGGAAGGGTTTTCATTCTGCTCTGACTGTCCTATGAGGCTGCAAAACCCCTGACCCTCTGTCTGGACAGTGCTGATTAGCCGTCTGCTGATCAGATGCACTCTCCCAAAGAAAAAAAAAAAAAATTCTATAGCCATACACAGTATACTGAGCATGTGCAGTGTGTCTCCTAGAGCTATGTACATCAGCAGATGAGTTGGGGACAGTAGAAAAAGGGGAGGATCAGAGAAGACAGATTTTACACAATGTGGAGGATTAACCGCTTAGGTTCCATGGTGAGTATAACAAGCATGCTTTACTGCATATACAGCTGGTTTTACTGTTGTGAGTTTAGTAACATTTTAAGAAAACCACAGCAACCCATCAAACTTGGTTATAAAATAATTTCTGATTGGTTGTTATAAGTTATTGTGCTTTTTATATCTTTTTTTTTTTTTGCTGACTTATTGCATAAGACTGTATAATTGTGCACTGTAGAATTTCCAGATACCTCTCTGCTAGAAGTAAGCCAAGAGACTGCTAAAAAGTTGTAGATGTTTCATCTACTATGCAGTAAATAAATTAATTACAAATATAACTGTTATTAGTTGGAATCCAAAGCTTCCAGGGACAGATATTTGAAAGGTCAGGAGTATAGGCACAATTAAAGTGTATGTAATCTCTAAAGTTTCTCCCTTTTAGTTTGTTAAAGTGATTGTAAATGTAAAATATTTTCTTATTAGTATCTCTGCATTAAAGTGATATTAAAGGTAATTTTTTCTTTAAATATAAAACATGTTATACTTACCTGCTCTTCTTCTCGGGTCCCTCAAAGGCACTCCTGGCCCCTTCCTCCTGCCAATTGCCCCCTACAGCAAGCAGCTTGGTATGGGGGCACCCAGGCAGGCTCAGTCCTGAGCCACTGTGCTGTGTGTCCTTTCACACACAGCTGTGAATTGGCCCTACCCCCTCTCTCTCCTCATTGGTGCACTGGCTGTGATCGACAGCAGCAGGAGCCAATGGCAAAAGCTGCTGTCTCACCTAATGAGGAGGGAGAAACCCTGAAGAGACATGGCTGTCATGTGCATCGCTGGTTCGAGATCGGGCTCAGGTAAGTATTAGGGGGTACTGGGGGGGCTGCCACACACAGAAGGTTTTTTACCTTCATGCATAGAATGCACAAACAGAAATAAACTTTTAAGTGCAGCTCCCCCAAATACTCACGTGAGCCCTATCTCAGTCCAGCACTGTGCACGTCTGCAGCAGCTCCTCTGCCCTCTTCCGGGTTTCACAGGCTTGGCTGAGAGTAGCTGGCTCCTGCTACTGTTAGTCAAAACCTGTGAGCAGGGGGCGGGGCTGAACTGGACTGTGTATCTGGATAGATGTAAGCAGCCTGGCTCGAGAGCGAGTCCGCATGAGTGCCCCCATAGAAAGCAGCTTCCTATGGAGCACCTGGTGGGGGAAAGAAGCCAGAAGCACCAGCAGGGGACCTGAGAAGAGAAGGATCTGGGCTGCTCTATGCTAAACCATTGCACAGGGCAGGTAAGTATAACATGTTTGTTATTTTAGTAGAATAGTTATTTGTGAGCCACCAGGAGTTAACTTACTCTATTATTAGTGTTAATTGTGTGCTTAAGTGAATATTAATTAAATATTGGATCGCCAGGCACTAATTACACCCTCTCTAGGTGTATGAAATTAAACTATGAATTCTTATACTGTACCGCGCTCCAATATTATCAACCTTTTGTGATTAACCTTTTTTGGTTGTGTGAATTTCTTAATATACCACCTATAATCCAATCATTACTTACTTCTATGGTGCTTAAATATACAATTATCATAAATTAATTTATAAATATGAATTAGAAAATTATATGTGATTATAACAAATATTAATAAAAAATTAATGAAAAATTGGAATGTCAATTCTATGTGAATAAAATAATAACAAATTAATAAAACATAAAAAAAAAAAAAAAAAAAAAAAAAAAAAAAAAAAAAAAGGGAAATGTCAATTATTTTCTTTGAATTTGAGATGGTGTTGTTATTCAATTTAGTTAATGTGATAAGTCTGTGTTGGCAGCTTGAACCTCTCCCTCGTCTCCTCTCTTTGTGCTTTCTTCACTGGCTGCTTTGTTTATTCCTCCATATACGGAACATGCAGAGAAGGGAAAAGAAACATAGTGTCTTATCCGGGATATAAGTGATTTATTGCTCTTTGATCTCCCACTCACATTGTGTAAATGTAAATAACGCTTTGAATACAATGTAACAAGATCCTGCTTCAGACAGCCTGGCTGATGTGTTTGCTTGCAGTAAATATACTCGCCGTTCCTCTGTGGATGCGTGATAACGTCACCGCCCCTCCCCTACGCGTTACGCTACAGGGACTCGTAGCTTCCTCTGGGGGAAGCTACGAGTCCCTGTAGCGTAACGCGTAGGGGAGGGGCGGTGACGTTATCACGCATCCACAGAGGAACGGCGAGTATATTTACTGCAAGCAAACACATCAGCCAGGCTGTCTGAAGCAGGATCTTGTTACATTGTATTCAAAGCGTTATTTACATTTACACAATGTGAGTGGGAGATCAAAGAGCAATAAATCACTTATATCCCGGATAAGACACTATGTTTCTTTTCCCTTCTCTGCATGTTCCGTATATGGAGGAAAAATAAAACAAAGCAGCCAGTGAAGAAAGCACAAAGAGAGGAGACGAGGGAGAGGTTCAAGCTGCCAACACAGACTTATCACATTAACTAAATTGAATAACAACACCATCTCAAATTCAAAGAAAATAATTGACATTTCCCTTTTTTTTTTTTTTTTTTTTTTTTTTTTTTTTTTTTTTATGTTTTATTAATTTGTTATTATTTTATTCACATAGAATTGACATTCCAATTTTTCATTAATTTTTTATTAATATTTGTTATAATCACATATAATTTTCTAATTCATATTTATAAATTAATTTATGATAATTGTATATTTAAGCACCATAGAAGTAAGTAATGATTGGATTATAGGTGGTATATTAAGAAATTCACACAACCAAAAAAGGTTAATCACAAAAGGTTGATAATATTGGAGCGCGGTACAGTATAAGAATTCATAGTATAACATGTTTGTTATTGTAATGATAGAAAACTGAACCTTTAATATCACCTTAAATATACCATTGAAAGGGTTTTATCATATCTGTTCGACAAGTGCAAAAAAGAAAGGAGCTGTTCATCCAACCAGAAATCGTGTGAGCTGATAACTTTGCTGCTATCTCTGTGGATTACAGAACACCTCCCCCTGTTATGGAGAAGAGAAGGAGGTGTTATGTAGTCCACACAGCCCTGGCACACTCACTGTCCTAGAGTGACAACATGACAGTACAGTTGTCACCCCAGGACAGGAAGTGTGTTAATGGCAGCAATACTAGGTGAAAATAAAGGGAAAAAAGTGCACAAAAAAGGAGAAAACGAATGCAGCTACCATGCCTAAGGACCGGTGATTTTCAGTACAATCACTTTTTGTTCTTAGATACATTTCAGCCTTGTTCAGATTCTCTGCAGTTTTGCTTGCTTTCTATAGGAGGATGCTGTGTCATTTAAATGGGCCTGCCTTTTGTTTAGCTGAATGTGACTTTTGATAGACTGGAAATAGAATGGTGTTATTTTTAGCAGGGCAAACAAGGTATCTGGCGTTTTCTATCCGGTGCGGACAGATGCTAGGGATAAAGGACTTTCTAATGGTTTTAATATTCCGGAAACAGAATCATTATGCGGAGATGTCTGTGATTTTCAGCCAGGCTGCACTGTGCTGCATTGTCTCACAGGCTAGTGTTGCTGAATGATTTCACCAAAACAAAAACAGACAAAATCATTATCCTGGAGTCTCCGGAGATATCACCTTACAGCTGTTATGACTTGCCTGCCCTGTTCCTGATAAAACATACAAAGGTTTCCTTTTCTCATTTCTTTCATATTCATCATTTATTCTGAAGACTTTCTAGGCAAACACTTTTCTAGTTTTTTTTAATGGCAGAACTGTTTAGGTATTAGACTACAAGCAACGTCTTCTTTTATTCACCCCATATGGAGCCGTTGGCTGTCAATCAAATCCTGTGAGGAGGGAGTTGGGGGGAGGGAGGCAAGATGCTATGTGTGTCTATGGATGCACATAGACACACATCCCACACAGCTAGATGTTTTACACCACAACGGAAGTGCAACGGACCAGTGTAATGACATACATAGAATTTAAAAAGAAGCATTTATCTTCAGCTTTTTTTGAGCTTTTTTTTTTACGAAAAAATGCTTCAAAACTGCTCAGTGTGAAAGCAGCCTTAATAAATAGACATTTCAGCAAATTCTGCATCTCTGCACACATCCCACACAGCTTGTTATGGGGGCACAAGCAGAAGAGGCAGAGTGAACACCAGCAGCAGGCCCCAGAAGAGGAGGTAAGTGGGCTACTCTGTGCAATACCATTACAGATAGCAGGTAAGTATAAACCTCTTTTTTTATTTTAATAAACAAAAAAAACTCTTTGATTTTGTATTCATTCCTGACTGGTGTGTCGGGGAAGGACACATGTTGTGTCTGTGTCCTCCACAGCTATGATGTGCTAAAGAGGAGTGACCGAAGCAGCTCTTAAATGTATTCACATGTGTTATGACTGTTAGAGGTATGGTCTGATTTTCTAAAATGACACCGAGGTTATGTTATGTGGCCAATTTTAGATGCAGAGAGTGTTAAGTAGAGTTTCTTCTTTTATCAGTTGTAACTTTTGTGTTGCAGATTGCTCTTGCCCCATATAAACACTTAGATGAAGACCTGGCCAGTGTGAAACAAGTATTAGAAATGAAGAATCAGCTAATCCATCAGCAGGAAAAGAGGATCATGGAGCTGGAAAAACTGGTGAGTGAAAGTATACAAACAAACAAAGCAATACACAGCAAAGTGAAAGTATACAAACAAACAAAGCAATACACAGCAAATTGAAAGCAATACAAACAAAAGAAATAAACACGAGAATGTCTAAACATTTGTAATTGCAACAATTTTCTGAGCGAAAGGGTGCATTATCTGACAATATTTTTGGCCATGACTGTATAATAAAAAAGGAGTTCATGAATGCATCCTGTGTAAAAGGGTAACACTTACAAATATTATTACCTGTAAGAGATCACAGAAATCACCCTGACAATGCTGTCATCTGCTTTTCTCTCCAGAACAGAGCCATTATTATCAGGCTTCATCCATTGTTAGTATAATTTCCCAGACTGCGGTGCTACTATAATCCCAATTTTAATATAATAATATTAATGTGAATGCTGGTGCCTGTGCAGATCTTGGCTGTGTTCACATGTCTGTCACAGATCAGCGGCTTCTTACCTTGTGAATTGCCCCACAGTTACACAGTCTGACCAGTGGTGTGGAGTGGACTTTTTTTCTGCCAGTGGATTGATGACATTGACTAACCCTAGGCAAAAATCTCTTTCAGATGTATGATTATTATGAAAAAAATGCGTTTCTTTTTTTTAAAGGCTGAAATTAATGTTATCTTGGAGGAGAGGATCCAGGTTCTCCAACAGCAGAATGAAGATATGAAAGCCCGGATAGACCAGAACGTTGCAGTCACCAGGTCAGTGGAAGGTGTTGGAACTCATGTCTCAGGATTATCAAGAGATACTTCAGTAATTTCATCAATAGGTGCATGAAAAATCAAGTGGCGCTGTATTTTATAGGTCATTGGTGAGACTTGGCCTTAAAAATTATGTCCAGTTCTGAAGGCACCAAAACCCCAAAACTTTCATAGATTAACGTTTGTATAGAAACTGCTGAAATGTCTATTTATTAAGACTGCTTTCACACAGCAGTTTTTGAAGCATTTTCGCATAAAAAAAAGCACAACAAAAGCTGAAGAAAAATGCTTCTTTTTAATTTCTATGTATTTCTTTACACTGGTCTGTTGCACTTCCATTGTGGTGTAAAAACATCTGCTTGCTGCATCTTTGGTCAGTTATAAAAAAACGCACCAAAAAGGAACCTCCCTATTGAAATGAAAAGGAACCGCATCAAAAACGTATCTAAAACGCATCAAGAGCACAACGCACTTGTGGGAAGTGCTTTGTCCAGTGGGGAAAAACACAACACAAACGCATCAAAAACGCAATGCGCCGCAGCAAAAATGCATAAAAAATGGAGCAAAAACGGAGCAGTGTGAGAGTAGCCTTAATCGTAATAATACATCAAGAAATCAGAGCTTAGTTGGTACATGAGGATCTGTCCACATAAAACAAAAGTATTTAGAACACCATTGAACACATCTACTATGATCTTGTATAAATATTTGTGAAAAGTGAGCCGGCTGAACACTTTACTGATTCTCTCTTTGCCAATGTTCTCATTGTGTTGTTATTAGTTGTACTACAACACCATCCCTGACACCTTCTTTCTTAGGGCCTGATGCACACAGGGCGTTAGATTTTCTCCTCTGAACGCCTTTTACTCCTGGCAGGAAAACGCTGCTTAAAAACATGCTGGAAGCTGCATATTGCACACATTTTGGCACGTCACAGACTTGAATGGTAATGGATTCCATTGGCCAGAAGAATACTTTATTCTCTCCATTGGAATGAATGAACGCCCAAGCACTAGCATTTAAGTGTGTTTAGATGCATTTAGGCAAATCAAGTGTTTTTCCTGCTCAAAAGCTCCTCTTCTGAACATGCTGGTGATGCTGATGGGGTTTTTTTTCAGCCTGTAAAGCTCCTCTTCTAATACGCCTGTAAAGGCCATATATGAATGGACACATAGGCTAACACAAAGCTGCTTTTACAGGTTGAGTTTCTTTACTGCAAACGCCTGTAAAAGTCATTTTGTAAGCCCAGTGTACATGAGGCCTTATGGAAGATCACAGTGAATGTGTTAAAAAGCACACTTGAATTACTCTAGTTTTATGTAGACACAATATTTATATTTGACCTGCCCTGTAATCTGTTTAAATATTTGTAACATACATCATTTTTTATTACACACTTGAAAATTTGGGGCAAGCACAAAAGGCTTTTTTATACCCTATGAGTTGTACATGACAATGGTAGAGATAATAAGATTAAAGAGAGAGACCCAAAAGGGGTTATTTACTAAAACGGGAGCGTGTTAACTCTGGTGCAACCAATCATATTCCAGGTTTTTTTTTTGCCAAAGCTTACTGTAATTGAACAAGCTGAAGTCAGAAGCTGATTGGTTACCATGCACAGCTGTGCCAGATTCTGAGTGCTCCAGTTTTAGTAAATCTCCCCCATAGAGTCCATTAAAATCTCTACAGTGATAATGAGACATTTTTAAGGCAAGTTGGCACATGAATGTCTTAGAAATGTGATTCACCTCATTATAATAGTAAATGGGTGGAAGGGGCTGAGCCGGGCTTATTCATCAATTCCCGAAGGTCCTGCAACATGTAGATGTGTGTTGACGGTACACATCTCCAGTGAAATACTGTGTGTGGCAGTAACGCACCTTATATCACAGGTCATGACACACATTATGGTGTGATGGAACCTTTTGCTGGTTGGAAGAGAGACCAGGGTGATGACCCCATCAGTGGGCTGCTACTCCTTCACGATACAGATACAGGCTGTAGCTTGTCCTTGACTGAGTTGTATTATTTTACCTGCAGTACAGAAAAGTGAAATCAGAGACCTGGATTTGCTGTCTGGTAGAGATGTGTGAATCTTCAGAGTGGTTAAACAGAATTGTGATTTTAGAAGCTAAAACAGCTTACACATACATAGATGACGAGGTGGTATCAAAATGTTTTGAGACTAGTTTTGCAACATGCTAATAGATGGCAGCACAAGGCTGCATGCACAGTCACAGGGAGCACTGACTCACAAGTCAGCGTGACAAAAGACATCGTCCTGTATACATCGGGAGCTGTGCAACTGGTATTATTCTGACTACTTGTGTGATAATTGTGCGCACAGATATGGACAATGACAACCATAATTTGGATCATACTCTGCAAATGTCATTCTCACTCCAAATCAGTCCCCTTCCCCTTTTTTTGAATGGCATGTGGTGTGTGTGTGTATGCTGGGGTCACAAGGGCATCAGGCACAGCTGTATACGCTTCATGTAAACCCAATTAGCTGGTTCCATGATGTCTGACAGACCCTTGCCTTGGCCGGGTCGTAAAGCTATAAACCAGTCAGTCACTGGACATGAAAGCATTCCAGAGGGGCAGTAAAACATACATCCCACTTGAAACCACTTTTTCATACAATTTCATAAATCCCGGCAGGAACAAGGTACAATAAAACAAAACATATATTCAGAGAGGTCAGATTAATACGAGTCACCTGATACCTTACACCCCTAGATAACATCTACCAGAGAGCAGAAAGCAATATCTCTTTAACCGTCACAGCCAGATATGTCATATTTGATGTCTGGACGTTCAGAATATGGTTCTGCATATTAACCTGCCAGTGGCTAGGCTGCTGCATGCACGCACCTATGGAAGGTTATTGACCATGGTATAAACATGGGAGGGATTTGGTCATCATAGCCAGGAGACACCCTGCTGGGTTCCTAGAAAACAGGCTGTCATGCCTGGAGAGAAAGATGAAGAGATTCTCCCTTTTAACATCAGGAAACCAACTTGGGGAGAAAAGGCACCCTTTTGTTCAGGACACTTGAACTCTGTTTAAACCAGGACTTCTGCAAGTATTCTACCTTCTTAAACTTCTTTCTTTTATCTCTCTGTTGTGTTATTGCTCTCTCTATTTATATATATATATATATATATATATATATATATATATATATATATATATATTGGTTACATCTTTTCTGTAAATATTTTTATTGCACCATTTTGACCTTTTTAGTAAAAAATCCCATTTTCTGAAAAGAGTTGAATTGTTTCTAAAGCTCTTTAATGCAAACTAAGAATCCCTGTCTCTGAAGAGTGCTACTGTGTGTTTTAAAACCTCTGGATACATCTGTCTGCGGTGACAGTGTGTATGCAGACACTTATTCAGACATCATAGTGTTACTGCTAAGATTGGCGAGTTTCCTCCTTCTCTGTAAAAAGGTGGTGGTGGCAGTGTGAAGGGTTAATGGCGTAATTAACCTGACCCAGTAACAATCGCTCTCAGGCTGTTGGCACCTAGATTGGGGTCCAGGGAGCTGGAAAATCTTTGTGCAGGGTGCAGCTGAGAGTGGCATTGTTACGCAAGTGACAGCGTGGTTTTAGATTGGCTAGTCCTTCAGTCACAAGTTGGTGAGAAGGACTGGGATCTGACGCCCCGCCCGTCACAACTTGCATTACCATGTCTGCTACTTCATCATGGACAGCTAGTTAGAACAAAGACCAAATGTTAAATTCTGCATGAAACTGGGCAAATCGCTAGATCTTTGCAATGTTGTCAAAATGGCAATCTTTGAGCTGGATCTTCATCTTCAGGAAGAGGGCATTTTTGGGGTTGAGGTCATCGAAGGTCTTCCCGATCTCCCATCATCTTCCAGTGATGTTATTTCGCTCTTGAAGGACATGTGCCACTCCAAACACCTCAAACCACTCATTACAGCATCGCTGTAAACTTCACAAATCATATCAAATGTCTCTGTGGCAGATTTGCCTAATTTCACGCAGAATTTCATGTTTGCTGATTTCTCTAACTTGCTGTCCATGATGAAATAGCAGATGCAGTAATGCATGTGTTCACAATAGCGCTAGCTGTACAGCTCCTGATGTACACAGGATGATGTCTTTTGGTACACTGACTTATGAAGATCGGTGCTCCCTGTGACTGTGCATGCAGCTCTGTGCTGCCATCTGCTGGCGTGTTACGAAACTAGTCTTGAAACTATTTGATACCACCTCATATGTATTTCAGATGTGTATTTAACTACTTGATTTTCTTATTATTACTCCTTTTATATTATTAAGTTTTATTATGCTTTATTGATTCTAAACATTTATTGTTCATCTTTTTTTTGCTTTTATATTTATTTTTCAAAATTGCATTTTACTAATAGGCAATTATCAGTAGAAAACGCCACCCTGCAGGAGAATGTTGAGAAAGAGAGCAAGGAGAAGAAAAGATTAAGCCGCACCAATGAGGAACTGGTTTGGAAGCTGCAGACTGCGGAGTCCATGAGCCCCATCAAACACCCGTCATCACCTATAAAAAGCTCACCTTCTTCCAGTCCTTTATCACCCTCTAAAATCAGCTCTGCTCAGAGATGACACAACAACATTCAATAAGTGACAAGCTTTACATCCTGATGTCCAAATGCTCTTGCAGTAAGTGTGACTGCAAGCAGAAACCAGTGTACCTTGTTCTACATTGGAGAGAGAAAGACCCTTCCCTTTTGGATTATAAACTAGAAGCCAAGGAAACAAAAACATTCCACTACAATCACATAAAACGGAGAAGCCACATCAATATTTCAGGTTACATACAGTCCAATATGCTGGGATTCTATATACAAAATATTTATTGTATACATTATTGCACACACTTTACAGGTTTACTACAATATGCTTATCTGTATATATGTGAACGAGAGCTCGTCTTTCTCTTTTTTAGGTTTCTTTTTTTTTTTCTTTTTAATTGTGCTGCTGATCTGTTCAGTCAGCTATTTTCTAACCTGTGCCTATGTCTTCTACCTGACTGGGACATTTGTGTCCACTCTGTTTCTACCGCGTGTTGTAAGGAGATAACACTGATCTCTACAGATGTATAAGAAAGAAATCGCCTTCCAGACAGAACAACACAATCACCAGCTCTAGCAAGTTATTACTGGACGATGCTGCCTACGCAATAATCTAACGCTTCGCTCGCATGTCAAGCTTTTTCATTTCCTGTGAGTGACTTCTATGGAGGCCCTCAGTTAATTGTCTACTTTTGGACTTGACTTTTTTGTACGTTTTGATGATATGGCCGCCAGAGGGTGCTAGGCTGCTTCTCAACCAAGAGCTGCAAAAAGCCAGACCTCTAAAGATGTACATATAAGGCCTTCACTTTTACAGTGATAACAGCGTTAAAAAAAAGCTTTCTATTTCCATTGACTTGGAGCCAGTTACGTTGTATTGTGTTATTCCTAGATGCTTCTGAATCTTCCATGTTTTGTTTCTTTGTGTAAGGAAATACCCTTTTCATGATAGCTCTTTTTTGTATATTTTGTAACGCACAAATGTCTATAGGAATCTGCCTGCGAAAAAGCACCTAATTTTCAATTAGTTTTGATTGCAATTCTGTGCGATTTTATAACTTGGAGGTAATTAGAAGATAGAGATATTTATTTTGGAATGTAAATCACCTTATGGTGAGTTCTTTTGTGTAAAGCAGTATGGAAGTAGAGTGTAAGTTTTGTAATTGTCGTTTAATCAGCCATGTCTCATTAGACTCGCTCATATATGTATTCACCTCTTCCACTGTGATAAAGATGCTGCATAAGTGATTTCACTGGAGTTGGGAGGAAATATCCCAGTCTGCAATACTTTGAGAAGAACATTGCTTGATGCGCATTAGAGGACGAGAAAGAAGAAATGCAAAATAACAGTAATAATAGTTTAAGTTAGTGATATATGTTAAGGGGTGGACTTTTATTATGGTTTGAGTCTACCAACGGCTTCTTGTATCTCTGGATTTCCCCTGTCTGTTGGTTACAAGGATATATAACAAGAGATGGGATCTCAGGTATGGAGACCTCACTAGCAGAGTCCTGGAGGTACTGAAGCCAATGAGAGAATCAGCCTACAGACAACAACCCAAAAGCTCCTCTACATCAAGAGACTAAAATATACAAACCTACACAGCCTTGTTAAATCCCCTTCACATCTTACATACACAATGGGCTTGATTTCCTAAAGGCAAATAGACTGTGCACTGCAATTTCTTTCATCCAATCATTTGCAAGCAAAAATGCTGTTTGTTTTTTTAGCATGTTCCCCTCAGATCTATAGCAGCTTTCAGTGCACTTGCAGTGCAAAGCCTATTTGCCTTTAGTAAATAAACCCCATTGAAATCACTATCACTGATGGGCAGATCTTGTTGAAGAATACAAGATTGGTGTGTTTTTAAAAATGTCACTACTCATTTTCATTTTTGCCTCCAAATTGTGTGAAGTTGAGGTTCACAATGTTTGTACAGAAATGAACACCCAATGTATACAATGTTTGAGCATGCTGTTCTACTGAACCCATACCTAGGGGGACAAACACTATGAAATTGACAAATGCTGTGTCCAGTATGGTCACAGGATTTGCTAAAATCAGTGGCCAGGCTGAGGCACCATACTGTAATAGGTCACACTTCTCTTTTTCAGTTGTATGTGGCCTGGTCTGAGACAGTCTAGTTGGTGACCAGATCTGTGTATGCTCAGCCGCCTGCATCAAATGGCCATGTGGGTGGGTACAGCGTGGTAGTAATACACTGAGGCTTGTTCAAACCATGCCCATTGTGTTTTTCTGCACACCACTGAGCATCTTGTGAACCTTACATGTGGGGTGGTGTGCAGAAAACCGCAGCTCAACAGCCATGGTGTAAATAGGCCCTGGGAGCTTCCATTGCAGGCTTCCTTGCTGTTGACCCTGTGGCTTCAATACTTTCTCATTCACTAATCTAGAATAATAATGCATATCAAGAAAATCAGAGAAAATTCACATGTCCTGATGTAAATACTTGTCCTTGGTCAGCATATCAAGGTATTGCATAGGGTCAGTATGACAGCCAGGCAACTAGCAATTGTAGAATTGCAGATTCAGTGGTTCTTTCCTTTAAACAGTACACCTGAAGCAAGAAGCGGCCGCACAGAAAAGATCTTCCCAGGATCCTAGTTTTAGCACCCAAGCAGTGCAGGTATTCACTCCCAGGAGAATTCCTTCCAATACAATAGGGGCAGAAAATCCAAATATCCTAAGACACTTTTACATTGGCTAGGATAAAAGAAAAAAACACAGGGACAAGAGAAAGGTAAAGACAAGAAAGGAAAAGAAAAGAAAATAATATGCAAGGAGCAACCTTACCAGGCTAGTGCCGCAAGCAAAATGATGTTTAATCCACCTAAACTTATTTTGGAAATACGAGCACTACTCCACCTAGGATCAACTTGCCACCAACCAAAATGTATCATTTGATCACATACCCCCGAGGAACTATTCAAGATTGTTTGGCCCAAAGATTCAATAATCGAGGTATATACCATGTCCCATTTTTTTGCAGTCTGCATCACATGTAATAAATAAATGTTAGCTTCATTCCTTCCAGTGAACATGTTCTGTGTTGAGACTGGGTAAAGTAACAGGTTCACTTTCCAGGAAAGATGGTAATACATACCATATATGCTCTCCTTCGCCACTCTGATTCCCTGCCAGGCACCCTGGGATTTCTGTGCGAAGTTCCTCCGGAAAGTGTACTTAAAGGCAAATTTTTTTTTTTCTAGTTTTGGATAGAGTGGAGAGAGAATAAAAAACACCTGTCAGTTTCTATTGCCGTCTATGCTTGTCCCTTATCATCAAAAGTGTAAAAGCAAAGCACAAATTTTGGGTTGACACCAGAACAGTAAAAGAGGGGAAATCTTCCTGTTTTGGCTATGTGACAGGAAGTGAAGGGAAATCTCCCCAGTGTGACAAAAAAACCTGAAAGGCTTTATAGCCCTCCCTTTACCTGTCCAAAAATGTTTTGCCTTTAGTTCTACTTTAACTTTGCCCTGTATGGCCAAAACACCTGATTTATTTTAAAGTGTTACTGAACCCAGGATCCTGCATTCACTATATCTGGTCTCCCACAGTACAGAGAACACGGAAATGCAATTGTTGTAGTAAATATAAACTGTTAAATACCTTTTCCATCAGCAACATATAGCAGTCTTGTGACTTCTATCAGTGTCTGGACGAGCACTGGTTAATCTTGTAGAAGGAGTTTTCATTCTCCTCTGACTGTCTTATGAGGTTGCATGACCCCTGACCCTCTGTCTGTACAGTGCTGATTGGCCCTGTTCTGGTCACATGCACCCTCACAAAAAAAAAAAATGTACAGAGTGTCTCCTAGGGCTCTGTACTATCAGCAAATGGATTGGGGACTGTGAAAGAAGGGGAGGATCAGAAAAGACAGGATCAAACAGCCTTTTTACACAGTGTGGAGGATTAACCCCTTAGGTTCCACAGTGAGTATAACAAGCACGTTTTACTGCATATAGAGACTGATTTTACTGTTGTGGGTTTAGTAACACTTTAAGTGCAATTTTTCCTTACTGACTCTATTACAATCACATTAGTCTTTGATACCCCTGCATGCCCAGTTATAAAATGTCAGTTAAAAATCCAACTCCAATTATTTATTGATCCCCTGCTTATGTAAAAATAACAAAGCAGCTCTGGCAGCAATAGTGCTGTCGCCTGCTGTCTTCCTTTTCACAATGAGGCTTCTGAACTGAATAACATCATTCAATCTGAAAGACTGAGGACATACTGTGAGTGCAGGGTGTAATGGGCCTGCCCCCTTGAGATGGTGCAAGAGTGCAAGATGTCATGTTGCATCTTGGGCCAGATCATTTAAGAATCCCAAGTATTCTATTAAAAATGCATCAACTCTTGTCTAGTAGAATATAGCAGGACACTATTGATCCTTCATTTGCATACATGGTGTTTAGGCACAACATTATATTCTCTGTTCCAACACTTTTCATAATTGTTCCACAGCAGATTTGAAAACCCAGATGTATATGACTGTCTCTTGGATTTTGAACCATAGAAAATAAACTTTTGTTTTAAACCTATTTTTGTGTTTTGAATGAGAAAGAGTGCCTTAGTATGTGTTCATAGAGAACTATTTGGATGTATCTCCTGTGTGGCGAGTACACAAGTGACAATAGTGTTGTAAGTATATTAACTGACCACTTCTCTTCTCTCCAAAGCACTGTTTAGACTGAAATAACACACCTGTTAGCAGGTGACCATGGCTAGCCTCTTCAATCCAAGGAAGGTTAAGGTTTATGAAAACACAAATGTACACTGCTCAAAAAAATTAAAGGAACACTTTTTTTTAATCAGAGTATCACATTAAGTCAATTAAACGCCTGGAATATTGATCTGGTCAGTTAAGTAGCAGAGGGGGTTGTTAATGAGTTTCAGCTGCTTTTGGTGTTTTTTTTTTTTTCCAAAAAATATTTTTATTAGAAGAAAGCAGGCATAACAATACATATACAGACGTGAATCCAAAATCGGACAGATTACTGTATGTC